CAAGTAAATTCTTCCATGGTTCTCCTTCCATTGATCCTGATGCATCAAGTAATAATATATAATGAAATGGCTTTGGAGCAGCTTGTGGAGTGTTTTAAGAAAAATAGTCAGTTTTATTGAAAGTAAAAGATGTAGTACAGTTTTCAGAATTCTATTTAAAGTTTAGTCTTGGTTGTATTGCTGAATTAAAAATACGATATTTTCCCATTGTTGGAGTTGAATGAGTTCTTTGTGATTTCGTTGTTCTTGTTGTAATGTTTGGACGGCTTCAGTTTGTTGTATTTGTTCAAGTTCGTCCTGCATCAATGCTAGTTGTTCAAGTTCAAGAAATCGTTCCAGTTCTATCAGTTGCTCTTGGTCCCATCGGTCCTTGGGATCCATTGTTTCCCAGTCATATACTTCCAAGAGTGGCTCGATGTAGATTTCATTCATGTGTTCTGGAAAGCTGAGATATTCCCAATATTCGTGATCCGATTGTTCTTCAAACCATCTGTTGAATCGTTGACCAGTTGCTTGCTGTTGCTGCTGCTCTTGTCGTTGTCTTGTCTGTCGGCGTTGTTCTTGTCGCCAACGCCTTGCTGTCGTATAGTAATGGTATTATGTTCTGGAACGTTATGAATCAATTGTATTTGACTTTGAATCATATTAGCCGTGGAAAATTCTATCAATGATACACTTGTAGCCACAAGTTCGATAGATAACAATCGATGAATATTGGATTTGTTATTATTGTGTTCGAATACTGGTTCAGATGGAGTGTTACCGATTTCGCTATTGTTAGTACTCATTCTAAAACAGATGTGCAATGAGAAAATATTTTTTCGAGAATTACACTGGATTTTCAAATATTTGAGGCCTACTCAGATCGAGTTGTTTGATACTTTTGTTATCTCAGAATATTGTTCTTTGACGAAAATGGTTAAAATAGTATATATATGTATATCTAGAATAATAAAGAAATGCAATACTTCTACTACTAAAAGTGATTCTTCAATAAGAAAACGAAAGAGTAAAATTAAAGGCGTTGGCTACAACGGAACAATAGTCTGTAGATGATGGTTGTAGTTCCAAAGTCGTTTTAATCTAAAATGAAAGAATTGATTAGCTAATTATAGAGATATTTTTGGTTAGAAAAATAAGATGGGTTTTGATTTTATTGAGTGGCAGACAGTGACTAAATCTTAGCTTTTATTTTTCGTTTTTCAAATGATTACAATTTGAGAGAATAGTGCTATCTAAATAGAACAATTGCTCGATATGTTGTAGTAGTGTCTTGTATACGTTGTAGCCAATAGATAGAAAGAAGTGTTGTTGTCTATGTATTTTCCATTTTAGTCAACATCGCTCGTGAAGGTTTCTTATGTATGAAGAAACTTTCAAGAGTGCGACTGGTATTTGTCACTATTCGAACTTTAACATTTTGGAGTGGTGATCCAGGAAATGCATAATATGTTTTCCACCATTTGTAAAATTCTTTTGGTAAATTGATGGTAAGACCAGTATCAAATAAATAACGAGGATACAATAATTCTTTGTTCCATATCTTTGGTTGTAATACTAATGTTGTTTTAACTGGATCTTTCATCATGTCAGTAAGTTGTTTCTCACGACGTGTCGGTTAATATAATAATTTTTGATGTAAACGATGGTAAACTTGTTCATTTAATTGATTTAACACAGGCATTGTATTATTTAAATGAAAGAATCGATTGAATTGTTTAGAAATAAAGTTTGGTGGATAACTATTCAATAATAATGAAATATCAATACGAATACGTTCTGAATTAAAATCGTCGACGTTTGAACAGATACGAGCAGCACGTAATAATGCTCTGTATGGAATATTACGATGAATATGACGTGGATGATTAGATGTATATGGTAAAATGTATGGTTCACTAGTTGGTTTATGATAAATAGATGCCCTTAATTGACCACTCACTTAATTGACCAGATAACTGAGCCACTTGACAAGAATAGCAAAATCGAAACATTAGTATGTCGTGGTACTCACCCTCATGAACAACGATTCGAAATCTATAAACGAGACATTCATCAGGTTTGGTCGCAAATATTTGCGAACACGTCGGCATCTGAAGTCCAAGTGATTGTTGGAAATCGAAACAATCGAGATGCGAAAAATGAATTGGTACAAAAGCGACCAAATCCATTGTTGTTGATAATGAAAGATTGTCAAGGTAAGTATCAAATCATTTATCCTGCTCATCTTTTCAACTGCTTATGTCGATAGGTTCTGACGTTTCTAATTTGAATCGACAGTGCATATTTCAAAATCAATCAAAATGCAACACATTGTACTACTATTAGGGGATAGTGCGAAGTTCGAAATAAATCATTTGGAGTTTATTTAAAAAAACAGAAATAAAACAACGAAAGAAAAAAGAACTCTTCGAACGATGACAATGTTCGTCTATATATTTATCTGTATCAATGAAATAAAAAGGTGAAGGATGACAATGACCAAAAAGAAAAGAAAAGTCATATATGTATAGTCCTACATGTATAGTCATACATGTGTGTAGTAAAATGGACGAACGAAAAAGGAATATCACTTGAAAAAGGAAAACGAAAGGAAAATGTATATATGTATGTAACTGTGAAGGCTGATAGCCTGTAACAATCATCCCCGCAACGAAAAATGTGTGTCCTCACACATAAAAGTTCAATGAAAAATGATAACGTTGCCTAAGGTGGGTATGAGATTTTTTTTTTTCTTTTTTTTTTTGACTAGTCAGATAACAGGTAGCAAAAATGCAAATAAAAGCAACAAAAGGCGAACACGAAAAAGAAAAAATTTTTTTTTTAAACGCAGATGTTCCAAAAAAAAAACAAATTGCAATGAAATATAGAAAAAAATTCAACTTAATAGACCACCGGTAGAGCGCGACTTAAGAACTTATTATTATAGTCTGATGGACATAAGTTCAAAACAAACGTAACAACTGTATAGAAACAGTGAAAAACGCATTATATCTGACCAGTTGACAATACACAAAATGGAAGTGAAGTGCTCACAACTACTACGTTATCGAGATAAATACGTGTCTTGTCAACGTTCATCGGCGACGGGACTTTGTTTGAATGCGTCGATAATGATCCTGTGTGAACATATTTGGATGTAACATGTCTTCGACCCATTGTTTTGTTTGTTCATCTTTTAATCCAATGAATAATACATGTCCAACGATGTTGAAATTAACCCAATGGATGTTCATATTGATGAGGATTCTTTTGACAGTGGTGATTGTAAAATCCTCGTAAAGGTGTCGAATTACTTCGAAAGTATATCGTTTGCCTCGACGTTTGCGATTCTTCCGCTGCTTTTTTGTCAATGATGGTCGATGGGATGGTGGTTCAGCGGGTATTGTACGAGGTGTGGATGTGGAGGATGGACGATTTGATGATGGTTCAATGTGTATGGTACGAGGTGTTGGTGATGATGTGATGATGAGTGAGATGATGATTCAGGCACACGAGTCGTTGATGATGAGTGAGATGATGATTCAGGCACACGAGTCGTTGATGATGATGAGTGTCGATGCGGTGGTGAATGCAAAAATAAAGGTGTTAGCGGTTCATCAACGTGTATTGATAACTCACCTGTAAACAATTGATGTGTCAACGGAGTCCGTGGTTCATATTCTACATGAACCAGCGGTTGCTGTTCTTCATTATCATCAGGTAGATCTTCCACTACTGACGGCCGTTCATCTCGTACATGAACAACCGCCAGTTCATCATCAGATATCGGTTCATATTCCATTGATTGTTGCGCTAATGTACATTGTGACAATAATTGTTCCAGCGACTGTTGATAGTTGTTAACCTGTTCCCGTGACCATTTGTATATAACTAGATACATTAGTCGTGTGGTTGCAAAGCAGTCATTGATGGCATAATCTTTCATTGCTAAACGTAGTTCTTCTTCACCTTTAATGATGTCATATCGCTCACGTCCAACCAAATCTGATGGTATATACGTCCCCAAGGCCAGATCAATACCACAACCCCAATTAGCAAGAGTCATTCTCTTGTCTAACCATTCGGTAAAAATAAGGTAAATAGCTGATTGTAAAGAATATTGATCGTTTGCTTCAGATTTATGATCATCTGACGGTGGATATGAAGAATGGAACCAATCTTTAAAGTCGTCTTGTATATCATGTAGTTCGGGTTGACGTATCTCATCTGCACTAAATAAATGGAATTTGCAAAATTTTGTTAATTCCTTTACTGGGTCTCCCCATGAATAAATGTGATTTGATGATGAAAAAATAATCCCACATAGTTGTTTGAGTTTGATAAACGCCGGGCTATTTTCCGGTGGTAGATAATTGACTTCGAGTAAGAGAATGGTAGATGGATGAGTGAGGTGAACGAATTCGATTTGTTTGAATGCAGGTTGCGATGATTGAGGTGGTGGACGGAGTTGATTTTCTGTGTCAGTTGTATAATGTGTTGTTTGATGAGCACGATCGATTAGTTCATCTAATGTTTCAATGGATGTTCGATGATGTATATCATGACAATGGTAGGACGATGGTTGTTGAAATGGTATACATTCACCCGTGCGACATAATTGTTTATAGTTATCATTTTCAATAACTTTTTTTGGTTTATATTTTTTTGTTAAATTATCTAATTTGTGTAATGGTGTTACATAATATGATTTTTTTGAATGAGAAGACATATATGAGTTAGAATGTTGAGAAGATCGAGAAAAATTAAACATCTAAAAGGGAAATTAATAGATAATAGACTCGAACCGAAGGAAAATAATCCAAAAGTCGAATACGCGTTATGCAACATGAAATCCTGCGAGGGAATTCATCTATAAGGTCGATGGATCGCGAGTATTAATAATGAGAAGGATAATAGCAATAGCAATGATAGCTGTCAAATATTCTTGTATAACACATATCAATGAATATTCAACCGTCGTTGAATTATCATTTTCTATTTTTAGTCGGCTGTGAAACAATGATTGGCCGGTCATCATCTCCACCGGTTCTATAAATGTGTGTTTTTTGAAGAGAAATGCTGCTGTCAAAATCATAACAATCGGTATAAATTCATGAATAAAAGAGCGTTTTCATAATGATCACGATGATGATGACAACGTTTTGACGATTTGACTATACTATCATATTTTATTAGATGTTTTTCCGTTCAAATAACGGTACTATAGAATCAACGGTTATCTGTTTGATCATTGTGGTCTTTTTTATGTGTTGTACGATATAAGTTTTGTCTGTTAACCGTTGAATAATTTTAAATGGTCCCTCATGACGAATATCGAATTTGTGTCGGCTATGTAACGATTTCACGAGGACTAAATCATTCGTATTGTATGATGGATTCGATCGGTGGTCGTCATAACGAGATTTATATTTTTCTTGGGCTTTTTTAATGGTTGCCTTCGCTTGTTCGGTTAGTGACGATAAGTATTGATTTAATTTGCTAACGTGCTCAGAGTCTTGTTCGAGCGATACCAATTCGTCCTGGTGGTCAAATGGTAGTACGGGTAATCGTCCGAACATCATTTCGAACGGGATTTGTTTTGTCGTTGCATGGATGGTGGTGTTGTAGTTAAATGTAACGAATGGTAACTGTTCGTCCCAATCGGTTTTTCGTTCATTTGATAGTGTGGCTATTTTTGAGTCCATTGTTGAATTGTATCTTTCTATCTGGCCGTTCGTTTGTGGATGATAGGGTGTGGAATATAAGTGTGTAACGCCGATTCGCGTCATTTTGGGTTGTGAAAAGATGCGTACAGGTCTTGGCTATCGAATGGTGAAAATCGCAGGGTGGTACGTCTTTTCCTTAAAAAGTTATAAGGAAAACAACGGATTGTCTTATTCGTTGAAAACGACAATATTACATCCGTTCTGTGGCTTTTTTAGTGACATTAACTGGGCGGTCAGAATTTATTGGCGCCACCTATTGATAGGAGTTATTGCATGATAATGGCTGACATGTACTTCTCAAAAATGTGATTTCACCTGCTCTTGCTCTTTCTCTTCGGTTTGCATTTCAGCTCTTTGAAAATAGATTGCATGCCATACAGCGTTTATTTTGTCTCGAAGTGAATTTGCTGACTCTGGTGTACAATTAAGAACCATAACATACGCCGCTTTTTATTTAGAAAAGTCTTAGTCCTACGTGAGCGGGCTGACAGTGAGTTTGCAGCTCATCCGCTTCAGTTAGATTTCAATTTGACGTTTAGGATTTCTGACGGTTAAAGTTCTTGCCGAAGTCGATCTAGAAAAGAAGCATTTAAAGAAACTGCTCTTTCAACAGACAAGAGAAAAAATTTTTACTTTTCATAACTCTGCAGTGACTTTGCCTGTATTTAAAAATATTGTTCAGCCTATTCGCACAAATACTATTTGCAGTTTTCAGGCTTAAAATTTATTATTAAAAAATATTTGTTTTTTTTTCTGTTTAGATCGCATTGTTCTACTCTATTTTTAGAATGAATGAATGAATGAAATTTATTTTACACAATGGTAGGATATCACAAAAAAGCACCAAAAGGACTTGTGGCATCCGGAGACACCTCATGATAACCTTAGATAAATAAGGATATGGATCCCAAGTTATTCTCAACAGCCAATATTAAAAACTGGTTATCAAAAGTCATGGAATAAGATATTGGGAAGACATTTGAGTGTCAGAAAACTTTGCTTTACCTGGTTTTTTTGCGCTGCGTGTTTTTCTCTTCCTTTTCCCTCGATGCGTTTAAGCCTTTCTCTCTTTTTAACGAAGTGAAATGTATACAGACACATTCCCATCCCACAGTTTGCGGATTTCGTCCTCTAATGTGTACATAAGCATTTGTGTGCTTTACTTCTTTGAACTTTAGTTCTTTAATGGCAAATATTACGGTTTTAAATAGTTGTTTTTGTACATCTTCAAAAAAGTTTATAGAATTCCACCTTTACTGCTGTCATATAACTCGATGTCATTTCTGTGAACCGAAGTTTTCGCTCTCCTATCAACTATGCGGAGGCAATGTCAAGTCTTACACTAATTTTAATTCATATAAAACTCATGTACATCGTAAACATCAAGAACTATTAAAGAAAACCTCACAGAGTGGTCAAGATAGAGATATTGATACCGACCGCGACCACTCAGACAATAACGTTTTATTCAGCTCACAGAATTTAATCAGTTAGAGAATGATGCTAATGTAAACATCGCTGATAATGAAGAATGATTCTACATCAGTTTTTATATCGTCACCACTACCGACACCATCGTTTGCTTCTGATGAACCGGTCAGTGCGGACGATTTACAAAAGATTTACACACGTTTTCTATCGCAACTGAGAGAAGAACACATTATACAACAACATGCAATTCAACTGATTAGCAATCATATTATTTCGTTAATCAGTACGATTTCAAGTTTAATATGTTTAACAACATAATCCCAGTTGCTCAATACAGACAATAGCGAGATGTATGTAGTGAACAACAGATGACAAGTACATTCACATTATGTTTTCTTTTCTTTTTCTCGCTTTCTTTTCTGATAGGGCATCGGAAAACAAAACGATAATACTGGATGATGACTCACTCATTTGTCAAACTTCTTCCGATCCACCATCACCGTCTTGTTTTATTGTGTTTACACATAAATTACAAATCCGCGTATGCTTAAAATTTTCGACTTCGATCCGACCCGACCAAAATGCTTTGCAGCCCAAGCCCGGACCGGCGCGACCACTCTATACAATTTTCTGGCCAGCTGATTTTAAAGACTTTATACTGTTTTCCCCTAATATGTTGAATTTTCTCATTGTTCAATTGGCTGCTTCATGACTGAGCTCACCTTGTTTTATGATTATTAATTGGATTTAAAAAGTGGTCTCAACAGTCGTGGTACATGGGAAAGTCGGTCTAGGCTAACTTCTACCCTACCAGTCCGCTTTTTCTCGTTTTTGGTGCTTAAGGGTTTCTCGCCATGCTCTTTCTATTATCTAGCGGAAGGTTTTTTCCAAAGTGCTCGGAAGTAGGGTTTCTAGAAAACCGCGCCTTAAAAAAAAATCAGTCTCCAACGCAAAATCTGAATTTTTAATTAATTTTCAAATTTTAAATTTTAAATATCTCAGCTCGCCAAGGTGATAGAGAGTTCGTTTAAACGGCATTCGAAAGAGAATTGAAAACTAAATAAACGTGGATGTTTATGAAAGTTCCAGTATCCGATCTTCCTGGTTTTTGAAGAGTTTTCCAAAAACCCTTTTTTAAATTTTACTTTAAAGTTTAATCTTTTTAGTGTACACATTTATAACTAACTTTGTAGTCAGTTTATTGAATACAATGAACACATTGGAAGTCAGTGAGCCTATTTTAGAGGATTTGGCTGCTATAGCATAACGATTTTACCTCATGTATACTTATACTATAAGGCAGCAAGCATCTACATTCACACCTGCATTAGCAGAAAGAGAAAACAGGTAAACAACGCAAATCTGTCATGGTATTTATTGAATTATTACTTATTATTGGTTTTTCTTTTGTATGTAAGCTTTTTACAGTGTTTTTTATAATTTTATTAATATTTTTATTTAATTTATTTGTCGGTATGTTTATAATTTAATTTTTAAATATTTATATTATTAAATGTTTTTAATTTACTTTTTATTTTTTATTTTAAAAAAAATTAGGCTTTTTAGGCTTACTATTTATTAAAAACATACTTTTCACTCAAAAAACGTCAGAACGAGTTGAAAACTTCAGGATGTTGTTAATTTTGCTCGCTAAACGTGATCTGAAGATCGTAAAAGAATAGTTTTATTAATGGGTTTTCCAGAAACCCTGTCGAAAAACCTTAGAGTTTAGTAAAAGCTCTTTCTAGGTCTCCTATAAATACGATACGGAAGAGTCTCGATACTTTAAGTTTTGAACTCGTTCTGATGTTTTTTTGAGTGAATAATGAACTTTTTAATATTACCCCCCACAGCGATTCCAGAAGAGCCACTGATGAAACAACTACTGGAATAGAGTACTGGTCTCTCCAATATGGCAATAGTATGGACAGATCGGTCAGGCGCGCTCTCGTTTGTGCAGAGTAGTTTGGTCACTCCAGTGACCATGGGGGGGGAACGACTTGAAAAGTCCTATTTTGGGCTTTTGTAAATTTGATATAGTTTGACCAAAAAACGTCGTAGAGAGCTGGGGGACATCTCATTTTGTAGAGAATTGTTTGCTCTATCGTTCTACGTAGTTTGAACAAAATTTTATTCGCAAGTTCTAGGTGCCCGAAAACTACAGTGGTTACAAAAATTGATCAACGGGTGTATTTTCGATTTTTTTCGCAACCATAAACGCTAAAAAGAATTCAAATAGTGACTTGAGTAGGGAAAATTGTTTCTAACAAGGATCTGCGAAAATAAAAATCATCACTGGATTCCCAATAATAGAGTTTTGTAGAAAACCAAAATCCTAGTTTTCCGGCACCTAGAACTTGTGAATAAAATTTTGTTCAAACTACGTAGAACGATAGAGCAAACAATTCTCTACAAAATAAGATGTCTCGAGCTCTCTGCGACGTTTTTTGGTCAAACTATATCAAATTTACGAAAGCCAAAAATAGGACTTTTTCAAGTCATTCCCCCCCCAATGGTCACTGGAGTAACCATTCTGTATCATGCCATCTCTTATCTACCTGACTTTTCTGAAACTTTCGAAAGGCATTGATATTGGTGGCAGACATTATTGTCGTTATATACCACACAATAGGTTATCAAGATGTATCTTGTCTGTTGGTAGAAAAATATATTCCGAAAAAAATCCAATTTTTGCGATTTTTTAAAAGTTATCGATTTTGTAATTCATCTTTTTCGGACACAAACCAACGTAACAAAATATTTTTTTTACCAATCGATAGCTTATGGAGTTCGCTACAAGACATCTCCCCAAAGTTTTTAAATTCCATGCTTTCTTAATTTTTTGCCATCGATCTACAAATGGTCACTCCAGTGACCAAGGGGGGTAAAGGGTTAAGTGAAAACAGCCTACAAACCCAAATTTTTGTAAAACTCGCTCCGTAACAAAGCCCAAGCCGTAGAAAATCCAGATCAAGAAATTTTTACACACAACCTGATTTTTCTTGTAGAAAAAACACAAAAAGCTTAAATAAAGGCGTATTCAGTTACACAATGAGAAAAATCTCTCGTATCTAGGCACGCACCAGTTGCGGTTAACTAAAACCGATCACAACCGATGTCGGTTGTAATATCAATTACAACTAGGCATGTGCCGGTTATTTTTAGGTTTTTTTGACCAAGTTGCAAAAAGATGGTTTGTAGTTTTATGACGCAGGTCATGGAGCTTTTTTGAATCGACAGTTTTGTAGAGAACTTTTGCTTTACAAAATGATACACGAACAGTTTTTGTACAACTTTTCTGTTCTCTTTTATAAGTTTTTTAATGTATGAGGGGTTGATACTCATCATGCACTAAAAAGCTTATAAAAGGGAAAAAAAAGTTCATGTATCGTTTTGTAAAGCAAAAATTCACTACAAAATTGTCTATTCAAAAATACTCCATAGCCTATCTCATAAAAATACAAACCATCTTTTTGCAACTTGGTCAAAAAACCGATGCACGCCTAGTTACAACTGCAACCGGTGCACGCTTACTTTTATCTAGAAAAAATTTATTGGGAAAAAACCAAACAAACCAGAAAAACCGTCAGAAAAACCAAAAATAGATCAATTGCTGTTTTCTAGTCAAGCATATGACATGATTTTTTTCATGTTTATGTTTGACATAAACCTTGTCGATATTGAATGTAATACCAAGTAATGCGATCACCACATGTCAGTACTTTTTGCGATATACCTACATCAAGGTCAGAGTTATTAATACAAACAAACCAAAATCGACTTAATGTTTCATTATAAGGATGATTAAAGTTTGAAGCACCATTAATACTTTCAACATAATATGATTGAAGAATTGTTCCATTTTTCATTTTTGCACCCCATTTTGCTGTGTATATAAGATTTTGTGTAAAAGCTTGTTTCATTGCATCTTCAACAGAAAGATTTTCTGAACAAGGAATAATTGCTTCTAGTGGACTAGCTGAAAATTTATCACCTTGTGGAATATAGACTTCAATGTTTATGTCCGTTTTATTTTTTGATACAACATATGATACAAAAACCATAAAAAATGAACATGTGATTAAACTGATCATATTGATAGAACTTGACTTTTCAATGTTTCGTTCAGACTTATTATTTTTATATCTACAAGTAAATAATAAAAATATGCTTCATATATTTTCAAAAAGCTTTCATTATTTTTCGAAACTACCTGATGAAAGTCAAAAGCAATAACTTGTTCAAACATAGCAATGGGATTCGAAATAAACATGTATCGATTTTTTTGAATAACTGACAAAAGATTGTTTATATTTTTCTGAGGTAGACAACGGAACTTTTCTAAGTGGTCAGTTTTGTAGAGGATTTTGTTCTCTACAACATTATTCGTGAAGAATTTTCGTTGAGATTATTATTTGTCTTATAAACATTTTAGTGTACAACGAATGTCGGTTATAACCGACGATTATAATCAATATCTGTCATATACTAACATGCTTATAAAAGAGATACGAAAAACTCGACAAAAATTCTTCGTGAATAATGTTGTAGAGCACAAAAGTCTCTACAAAACTGACCACTCAGAAAAGTTTCATAGATTACTTCACAAAAAAATATAAGCACTTTTTCTGCTACTTAGTCAACAGAATCGAAAAATAACCGATGTATATCTAATTGGGAATGATTGTTACTTTCGCAAATAATAATACTGCATGACTGCATAAAAATGAATAAAAGTGATTACTTACACTACATTCTCTATAGTACAAAAAAATTATTCTCTGAGAATGAGTTTGTGGTAATCGAAAATGAAATATTTCTTGAAGATCATATATGTAGTAAACAGTAAGTATTCAAAAATACTTTAAGAAATTTATTTATTTATTTATTTCATATGTTAGTTTAAAGTTAAATTGCAAAACAAAAAAAATGTTTCCTGCACTCTGTCTCTCTCTCTTTGCATACATTCTATAGATAAACTGTTAAAAAATAGAAAGTCAACTTTGTATGAATCCGTAAACTTATTTTTGTAGTCAACAGTTTTTTGTTCTGTCCTTTATTCTTTATGATTCACTTCTGAAAGGCATTGTTACTATTTTTCACTATCTTATTATATGTTAAATCGTGAATTAAAAACACTTCGTCAGACAACATTGACTTACTTGTTTCAACTCAATATCGACGTGACATTTCAGATAAAATATTGACATGTAATGATTACATTACTATTATCCATCCCAAAATATAATGCAGTCGGTTGTTTTTCGAATAACTCAAAGATGACAAATGGTAAAAACTTGTGGTTTTCAGCAATCGAAAAACGACACTTGCGGCCATAGTTCCATAGGCAAAAGTGATTTTTGAAAAAGTTTCTGAAGCCACTTTTTCAACGGATCTTTCGAAAACCAGTTTAGAATTCTGAAAACTACTATCCATTCCAAAATACAGTGCCGGTGGGCATTTTTTGCATAACTTTTGATAGAAATGAGATAGAGACCTGCGGTTTTCGCCGTTCGATAGCCAAGACTTCAGCGGAACTTTTCATAAGCAAAAACAACTTCTAAAAAATTTCAAAGATCGAGTTTGCACAGGATCTTTGGAAAATCAGCTCCGTTTTCAGAAAACTAACATACACTGTTAGAAATTTTTTTGCACGCGTAGATAGTCCGGATGTTACTCTACAAAATTATGCAAGTCCCGGCTCTCCAGCTATCGTCGTTCGGACAGGGCTCGCTTTCCCCGAACACGTGTCTGTCTCCGAGCAGACATCTCTGGGAATCTCGGAATGCCATGGAATATAGGTAATCGACTACGCTGAGCATAGGGGCAACATTTGTTTTTGTGTAGAAATGAATATAACTTCGCCAGAGGCATTTTTGT